TGCGCATGCAGCTGTGTCCCTGCACTGCTCTGGCATGTCCTTGCTGTGTAGCTGCCTGGAGCCAAGCCTGGATTTTGCAAAGGCTACAAAAGTCACTGATCTGGAATATGCTGTAAGGAGTTACAGTGATTTCAGTGTGAATACATATAAAGTGACAAGTGTTTCTTTTACAGTTTAATCTTCTCTTCCACTGAGCATGAAGAATACACAAGTGCTGCAAGCAAATGAGAAAGAGTTTGTGCCTCCTGTTGTGGACTGAGCTCTTCCTACAGGTCCTGCTTCTCTGTGTGTCTGCACTGGGAGAGGCACATGCTGCAGCAACAACTCATCTGTATAATCATTAACTACCTGACCATCCGGTTAACACAAATGTTAGGAAAGCTGATTCCCACTTTCAGCACCGCGCCCGTATGGGAGATCTGGATCAGCTCCCGAGGCCTAATTTCACAGAGCTCGGCCGCATTCCCCAGCCATGTGTTTTTCCATGCACTCTTTAAGGCACTAGACTGCACCTTCTGCTTTCCTTCCATAGGCACTTTTGGAGCACCCACATGAAGCGTTGCATTGCCACTGACAAAATGAAGCAAAAGTTTCATGCTGCCTTTTTCCCCTTTTTGTGCAGATACCTGATTTAAAAACAGATAACGCAGGGCTTCTCATTTAAACTATCCAGCTCTGATGTCCAAATGCCTAGACCTCCCCCAGATCAAAATAATTTAAAATGAAGTAGTATTTCTAAGTTTATAAATTAGAGCCTGCCTTTTGACCACTACTTGCTTTATCTGACAAAGTTCAGTTACTGGAGTGTATGTCTATCTTGGATCTCAAATGTTACAATTGGTTTTGTCTTTCAGCTGAATGTAAGTCACAGAATCCCGGAATCACAGAATGGTTGAGGTTGGAAGGGACCTCTAGAGATCATCTAGTCCAACCCCCCTGCTCCAGCAAGGACACCCAGAGCACATGGCACAGGGTGGCATCCAGGTGGGTTTTGAAGATCTCCAGAGGAGACTCCACAGCCTCTCTGGGCAGCCTGTTCCAGGGCTCTGTCACTCCCACAGGAAAGGAGCTCTTCCTCATATGGAGATGGTAGTCATATGAATATAAGCTGAATATGCCTTTCCATTGTCTTTCATCCCAGATTCCCTCCCTTCTTGCTTACCCTTGTCCCCTAAGAGACTTGGGGCAAACCCAGCAGTTTTTATATTGTGGCAAAGCTGAACGTGTGAGTAAAATTCCGCTTAATGACCGTTTTGATTGGATACGGATTTTTCTTACTGCTCTCTGAAAAAAAAAGTGAAATAGAAAAGAAGATAAAGTGGTTTGAGATATGTAATGCACTGAGACCACTTCTGCAAATGTCATACCTGTAGTCTGCACATCAGACTTAACATTTCATTACAAGAAAATAAAGACGACAGCTGAGTTAATTGCAGTCACGTTTATTTGCATTTTCTATACACACTTTCTAGGTAATCAAACTTTTCCAACACAGTTTTTGAGAGGGGTTCACAATGAAACTGTCACTGTTTTTACTAAAAATAAATACAAGACTTAAAGTGTTGCACAGCTCTAAAATATACAAAGGCTTGGATTTAATGTAAACTTTGAAAACATTTTACAAAAGAAACCATCTTTGCAACAATTTAAAAAGTTCATATTTACAAATATTACAAAAATACAAAATGGATGCAAGTCCATAAACCATTGTCTTTTCTGCCAGCATGAACTGGTGCTAGTACCAAAATAGTTACACTGTAACCTTCTTAATTTTTTTTTTAATTCTTTAAGTCATAACCTACAGTATTTCTCTATATCTGCCACCATTGCAGCAAATGCAATCAATCACTGACCTTTGGCAAAAGCAAACGGCTGCTTTATTTGCTACAACTATTCCACATCCTCTATGCTGCCACAAAAAGAAAAAAAGGAGGGAGCGGGGGGAATGTTATTTTTCAGAACACACAGCTGTATAACTTCAGAAATCCTTTCCGTAACGTCAGTGCAAACCACGGGCCGATCGGCTGAACCGATGGCTCCCTGGCTACCTAGCGGGCGCCCCGCAGCCCGTGGCGAGGGGTGCGGATGGTCCTCTCGCCGCTCAGCCCGTGCCTCGGGGGCACGCGCAGCGCGAGGGGACTCCCTCCGCCGCCGCCTTGGCTCCCACGCTTGCTCTGGGTTCTCCTCTTCAGAGGGGCCTTGCAGCCCCTCTGTATTTGGGCTTCAATCTGTTAAATACAAAATTGGGGAAAAAAATATCTCATAGATTTTAAAAGAAGAAAAATTATATTTTTGTATGATTGTTCTGTGATCTTTTCATATCTTCCTACTTCACCATTCAAGTCAAAAATAAAAAAAACAATATATTTTTTTGTAAAAAAAACCAATGTGTATATTTTTATGGATGGTATCTCTGTGAGACTGTCAATTGCTAATCAAAAGTGATGTAATCAAACAGGCCTTCCCTCTGTTTACTCTTTAAAGTTTAGAATGATCATTTAAAGCACACGTAACACTTTTAAGAGTAAATGTGTTATAAAGTGCTTCTGTTAATATCATTATGGAAGATGACTGAAGATGACAGACTAAGGATTTTCTGCCCATATCGGAATGTCCTTTACTCATGCTCTCCAGAAAGTGTTTTGTTTCATGCTAAGCATTTCCTATCAAAACATTCTCATTCATTCTTTTCACTTGTACTTAGACTTATTTTCTTAACTAAGCTATTAATGAGACTAGCCTTTTATTTCCACACCTTACCCCTTACCTTATCTTTTTTACTGCTATTTTAGACTTCCTGACTTGAAACCCTTGAGCTGATTTTCCACCCCTCATCCCAACACCCATACCACATGCACAATGATGCTAGCTTGCATCTCAAACGCAATCGCACTACACAGGAGGACGGTAGGAAACCCTGAATTATATATTTCTTGTGGAATACACTACATGAAATACGACATAATCTAATGGGAAATACCACGTTCGGGATTGGTTAAACCATTCTACCTTGCTCAAACTTTTCAAAATTCTATCAGTTTTAACTAAAACCTTCCCCTTTAAAATATGATTTGCCTGCTTTAAAACCTCTCCGCTTTATACTTTATATGATAAAAAACAAAGAACAGAAAAAACCATTTCACACATCCCGCTTCCCCATCATTTACTTCTGCTCAAAGCCCGAGCTCTCTGCCGCCCTGCTCTCTCTGCTCTGCTGCCCACCACGCTCCCTCGTGCACTATTTTCTCTGCACTAGCCTTTCCCGTATTGCAAAGCTCTATTTGCCTTCAGCAATCATCATCACCTGCGTCGAGTTTGGACAATTTTGGCCTTGTTCTCCGAGTAGCATCGATGGGACTTGCTGTTGGGAATGGTGGTGGCCCAAAGGAGAGCCAGGCCTTTTGGCTTTCATTTGTTTAAAAAACTAAAAGAGTAAAGCAACTCGTGGGTTGTTCATCATTTACACGTTCTTTCCGTTTTAAGACAAGAAAATTCAAGTAACTTCAAGTAATGCAGCTTTTATTTCCCTGCCTTCATTTTTTTTTTTAACCAAAGCAGTTGCTTTGATTTGTCTCCTTTCCCACCCCATCCCATTCCCCCACCCTGTTACGCATTCCTGGTAAACCCGGACAAAACCCAAGCTGCATGTGGTTGGCATAATGACCCAGAGCTTTCCCCTTCCCGGTTAATCAATGAATATAAATAATGCGTACACATATCTATTTCCCAGCTACGTTTTCACAGTGTCATTTTTGTAAATATTTAGGTAGCATGAATCTCATCAGCACAAAGAGAAAGCTTCACTGAAAACTCATCGCAGATATTTACTGATAAATTGAAAGCGCTTGTTGCATGCTTATAATTTATTTGTTTCCCTTAAGAACCAGAAACTAATCATGTTTAGCGATTATAGGTACCAGGTTATGACTGTGTTAGGTATCCCAACAGCCTAATAAGGATATGAAAATAAGTACTATTTCTTCTTATCTATTTTCTTCCTATCTACCCTTCCTAAAGCAATCCATAGTAGAATCAAGGCCTAAGGGACACTGTCAAATGGGACTGTCAGGGGCTCTGTGCTAGCAATGACTTTGCTCTATCAATCAGAAGCATGCTCGCCTTCCCCACCAATTATCATGTTAAAACTCACAGCTGCACTTTTCAGTTAGCTCCTCCGGAGCGCTATTCGAAAGACAAATGGTTGCTTTAATCTGATCTTAGCCTTTACATTTCCTTAGATAACGTTGAGGATTTTCTTTCAACTGTTAAATGTTGCTTTTGAGGCTTATCACACTGAAAGTGGTTATTGGTGGCCATTTAAGTAGTATGTTTGATATGAAAATGGTATTCACAGAATACAGTTATTACATTTGATGTCTTTTGTCTTTTAGAAACAAAGTTGTTATGCAGTAAATCATTTGCCACATGTCCACTTTTTGATAGTTCTATTTACAGATTTTTATCAAAAATATGGTATTTACATATGTTTTGTTTATTTCTTCTAAATTTTGCTTCAGCTCATTTTAGTGTAGAAAAATACCAATCCTCAGGAGCATTTTTTTTCTTTTTTCCCCTAGGGAAGCACTACAGTGAGGGATTTGTTTCTGGATGGGCAGCTTCTGGAATAAAAACAAAAAGTTGCTTTTAACTCTATGAAGAGTGAACAGCCTTGAAATCTACAATGACGCCAGAAATGAGGGTGGGATAAATCAAATGAAGCTAAAAGAAACGAGGCTCGACATAGCATATCTTTCTACCTTAGAAAACGCAAAGTAATAAATAGCTACAGCTTTAGTCCTCTGTTTCCCCAGCATCTTATCAACATGAACACATTTAACCATTGATATTGCCCTGCGTTTTTTTTTTCTTTTTTTTTTCTTTTTTTCCTTTTTTTGACTGCTACAGCGTTGGCTTCTTCTATTCACATCCGCACGGGGGCCGAGCGGGTTCGGCGTTCCCCGGTGTCACCGGCGGTGCTGGGCCTCCGGAGCTCGCGCCGCCTACGTGGAGCTCTGCGAGGACCGGTCGTCGTGCGGGCTGCCGTCCGAGTTCTCCGTGTCCCCTTCGGAGATGGCCTGCATCGGCGTGTTGTAGAGCCTGCAGCGCACGCTGTACCGGCTGCTGCTCGCTGCCGGGGGCGCCCGCGAGCGCCCCACTCGGCACGATGCCGACATGGAGAAGCTCTTGGAGGAGAACCCTTCCGCGTTGACTCTGGGCGAGCAGGGCGAAAGCGGGGACGACGCGTCGGGGCTGCCCGCTTGGGGGGACTCCTCTGGGGCCGCAGGGGCGTCTGCGGGCAGCTCTCCGGGTGACTTGGGCAAGATGGGGCTCTTCAGGATCTCTGTGGCGGACATCCGGTAGCTAGAGTCGGACCGGCTGCCCTTCTTTAGGAGCAGCAGCTTAAACTCCTCGTTGGATGTGTTGGACTTCTTGGCATTGCGGTATATGAGCCCCGGGGACCTCTGGCTGCTCGCGGGCGACGCGCCGGCGGCGGCCGGCGGCACAGTGCTGGCAGGGGCGGCGCTGCTGGCTGGTGCCAACGTGTTGCTGCTCCCACATGTGCCTCTCAACCTGTTTCGTACGGACAGGTCTCCAGAATCCTTCCGTCCCAGCACTTTCCTCTTGGATCTGTAAAAGCACAAAGGAACATGCACTCCTGGATTATCTGCAGAGAGGTTTACAGGCTCACCACACTTTGATATTATTTTTGGTATTAACTAGAGTTCTCCTAACCCATATTGTCAAATATGAGACGTGGGCAGTGACTGATGCCCCTTGAGTAACTCCTGTGCAATGAAAGAGGCACTGAGTCACAACATCCACTTCAAGTTCCCCCAGCTCTTCCAAAACAATTTACACCTAAGCAGCACTTTATAAAAAGCAGTGGTGGACATGGGATCTTTGGCTGGACCAATGCTCATTGTGACCTGCTCAGCACTATGAAACTGCAGCCATCAGCTTACCTGTGATAGCAAATACCAGCTGAATACAAAACACTCTGCCTTTGGTGAGATGCATTCTCTGAAGCAACCACTTGCTCAACAGAACTGAGCTGGTGAGCAGGATGCAGAAACCACTGCGTGCCCTTTCCTTTAGAGACGTGTGTGTTTGTTAGAGAGATCGGCCTGACAGTATTTGTAAAGCCCCCTATGCTTGCCGTAAAGATGCTCAGTATGCAAACAAACAAAGCTAAAATAAAGCAAATTTTAAAAGCTGCCTTTTAAGAAATTAGCACAGTAAAATAAAGCAGCTGGTGTCAGGACAGAGAAAACTGAGATGAAGAATTTCATATTAAGTCAGCAATCATCATGCAGGTGTGCGCTCAACCACAGGTTCTCCTGGAAGCCTGACAAATAAACCTGACTGAAATCATGGGGCTGTAAAAAGATGCAACTTACTGAAAAAAAGACTAATCTCAACGTTTCAATCAATTTAGCAAAAGATTGTTCACGTGAGAGGTATATCCACATGGGACAGATGTGGGCAGCCCCATGTTCCTCTGTTTGTATTCCGCCTCAGCTGCTCTCATAGTTATCTCCAGACTGTTCTCAGATCACCCCAGTACCACCAAGGGCAGGCACCAGAAAGACCAGGACCAGTGATAGCAGGGTTACTTCTGCCTGAGTCCTAGCATCAGACCAACTGCTGTAGAGCGCAGACTTAACCAGAATAACCGGCTATCGTTAGGGGGTGTTTGTGCAATATAGGAGAACGCGGTTGCATTTTACAGTTTTTGCTTGCCCTAACATTACATCACCTGTGAATAACTGCAAATAGATCCTCAGTAGTGCGCGGTTTATTTGGAGACACAAAAACATCCTCTGTCTCAGCCTGAGAATCTTCACTCAATGGAGAAATTATGGAATCATCACTCGGAGAAGGCTCTTAAATGAGGAAAGAAGCCATGAGATGAGTCAAATGCTTACCATGTTTTACAACAGCACAGCTATTGCAATCCACAAGTTCAATTTATAACTGAATTGCCAGTATATGTACTGTAATACATACTTTATCGTCTAATCAAAATATCATATATATTGAAGCACATAAAGTGGGTACTGCTAGGATCTAAACCCTGCATATCTGGTTTACTGTACAGATGCTTTCAGCAGCTCTGCAGCTGTGATAACAAGGCCCCCTTGTGCAAAGGGCTACTCCTCTTCCCTTTTCTACTTTTAAGTAAAATGAAGTATAAGGGAAAAAAAAGTATCAAAAAAATACATTTCTCTGAAAATATTTCCGGGCTGACGAGTTAGCTTAAAGACCAGGAGAACTCTGCTGAAATCTCCACAAGCACCTTGATTTACGTTTGCACATAGGGCCAGATACTTTTCAAAGGTGCACTAAATCACATCCAAAACTGTACAGTCAGTTATAATATAGAACGAGTTTACAACTGACCTTTCAGTGAAGGCTCTTCCGTGCTCCCCAGCATCTCATCTGCCCTGCTGTTATCAGAGGCACTTTTGGTCGTAATACCTGATGCAATATCATTTTCCTGCTTGGAACTTTTTTCACTGAGTGAATTTACTGTCGCTGTCTCTGATTCGTAGCAGATACTCCCAGGCACACGGTGGCTTAAATCAAGTTGGTGCTTAAGCTGATCGCTAATGTCAGCTCCCTCCGATGGAGATGAGGTTTCACCCACAGGTTCAGATTCCAACTTTTGTTCAGAGCCTCCAGTGAACTCTTGCTGAATCTGCACTTGGCCAAGGTTGCTTTCCTGTTCTGCTCCCCAGTTAGTTTTCTTTGCTTCATAATCATTTGTGGGGACAGATGAGCCTTTCTGAAGCCCTTCTGAAGAAATAGCACAAGTCTGAGTTAGAGCGTTTTCTGGCAAATGCTCTGTTGCCGGGTGCATTTGGTCTGCCAGGGGTTTAATTTCAGCCAGACCCACATTTGCTGAAGTGACAGTTTCCTGCTCACAGTTACTCTGTCCACTGAATGAGGAGCTTTTTTCTAAAGGTGGTTTTCCAGGGCCCGTTTCTGCTGGGGAGGTGTCAATATATGACACCATGGCCTCCTCGGTGGCATACTGACGTGATATTGGCTTCTTAGCTAAGAGCGGCCTCATCTTGCCCGGAGAGACATCGCTCCCCAGTAGCGCGGTTTCTTGTACGCAGAGCAGCTCTGTAGTGATAGCTTTTTGCTTCACCTCTTCAGGCTTATTAACGGACCTAAGGTGAACAGATTTTAGAACGGAAGGTGTGATGGCAAGGGCAGAAGGATTGGGAGTCAGCGCTTCTCCTACCATGCTCTGCTTGTTGGGGTTGAACGCATGCAGCTGGTGCCTGTGAGCAAATGGTTTGTTCAAGACATTGTGAAGAGCACTTAGGTCAAGATGAGTGGGAGGTATAATGGGAAGCTCCAGGTCTTTGCTTGCAGGCACAGTGCCGTCTTTGGACAGTGGCTGTGGCTGCAGTGACGACTTCCTTTCTGGTACTTTTGGCTTTCTCTTGCTGCCGCCAGGAGACAAAGGCCCAGAGAAGAAAGCTGTTGGGAAGGAAGAGGTTGGCGTTTCTGACTGGCTGGAGTATCCACTGGAGGGGGATGCTAACCCTGCCAGCTTCTCTGGGGAGGCCAGCTTAAACTCATTATCGACAGAAGGGAGGGATGGGGTGGTGGCCCTTGATCCGGACTGTGATGTTTGGGATTCAGAGCTCTCTGGGGATTTGATGCACTCTATGACTGTAGTACCCGTAGCAGTGCTTGAATTGGATAAAGACCTATAGGGATCATTAGATTTCAAGTCATTTAGAAGCCAGAGATCTGCATAGTGGGATGGTTCAGCACCTTCATCTTTAAACGACGGAATATCTGTGGTGTCAAACTGAGTGTCCTTTAATCCACTGTCATTCTGGTTTGCCCAGGAGAGCTCCTGTTTGGTTGGCAGATTAGAGTTTTCCACTCTGGAAGGTGTGTTTGAGAACTCAAGTGGCAGCTTCATTTCCCTGGAAGTGTGAGATACATGCTGCCCACTGCTTATCTTTGGTTCTTTCTTTTCTGGAAGATCCGTGCTGCTCTCAGATTTCCTCAAAGACGAGCTGCGTTTTGGTGGGGCTGGCTTTGCCTTTGGTTTCTTCAGAGAGATGCTCTGCCTTCCTTGCCTCCTGTGGTTCATGCAGTCCTGCCAGGCGCACTCAGTGAGGCTGGAGGTCACACTCGTGTTCTGGCCACTCTCAGAGCCCGCGGCTGCATAGTTGCAAATATAACTTTTATTACCCTTGAGACCACAGTCAAAGTGCATGGAAGTATAGTATCCTTCTGTATCCACGGAGAAGTGTGAGCTGGTGTCTGCCTTGTCAGACGGGCTCTTCTCGAGGAAGCTATCATAAGTGGCCATGCTCGTGAAACTCGGGCACCCCAGGCTGTCGGCCTTGGGGCGCTCGGGGCTGAAGTCCTGGCGACAGGAGGCGTCGTGGTGGTGGTGCAGGTAGTTCCACTCGCTGTCACTAGTGTTGCTGTTGTTGGGGTCATCCAGTAAGTCTGCTACTGTGGAGGTGAAGGAGCTTGCCCTGTGGCCTCTGACCTTGTCCAGGTGGTCGCCAAACTGCTCTGTGATGAAGACGCTGGAGTCCTCGTTGGCATTGGGAGCGGTGTTCAGCGACAGCTCGGAGTCACAGTGCGAAGAGCCCGTCAGCGGAGGAGAGGCAGCAGGGGGAATGGTTTCGGATGTCTGAGAGGGGCATGTGGAGCTGCTCCCACTCCAGTTCCCACTGGAGGACTGGTGGTCATCTTTCTGGTCCATGTGGCTGCTGAGCAGGACTCCTGCTGTGGAGATTGAGTGGATGGGGCTCCCAAAGGTATCCGAGTTGGAGGAAATCTCACAGCTTCCTGAATCTGCCATCCTTGAGAGCCGTGATCTGCCTCTCTCACCGATGCTGTGATCTGGGCTGTGCAAGTGCTGAGGACACGTTAAACCTATGGGCTGATGTTCCTGTGAACCCTGTTTGTTCATGACCTCCTTCCCCTTTCTCGGGATCCTTTCCTGGCTTGCTAGAAAGCGTTCTGCTTCGTATGCTGAGCTTTTGGCACTGGCATCCTGATCACCCTCGTTGGCTCTCGCACCCTCGCGAGGAAGACTCCGTGAGCGGATGCGGTTGCTCACTGCGGTAGCAAACACGGCATCTCCGTTGTCTGCTAGCACCAAAATGTTGCCAGCAGGATGTGACAGGGAGGCGACGACGCTCCGCCCTCTCTGCGCTCGGATCCGTCTTCGGGAGGGAGCAGCAATGAGGATTTCCTCAGTCTGGCACTCCGAGTCCCGCGTGCCCGACCTCCGGTTGGCGGCGGCAGCAAAGTCCGGGTTCGCATGCACAATCACATTGCGTTCTCTTGCCACCGGCGATTCATCGGAATCTAGGATACACGTAAACCCGGGTGAGATACAGCTCCGCGCCTCCTGATAAAAGACGACCCGCAGAGCAGCCCGAGAAGCATATTTGTTGACTTTTATTTATTTTTATCTTGCTGAATATTGCACCAAATTATCTTTACTACAAAAACTTTGGGAGGCAGACCTTATCCCAGTAAGGGGGGAATTCTCTTAGTCCTGCAATGTGAGCTCGGTTCTCCTATTTCTGCAACGTGATCTCACACAGAGCTGATCTTGCCGTGGTAAATATTAAGATAAAGATTAACTTTTTAATTTTTTCTCACTCCATTTCAACCAGTAAATTTAGTTTTAATGCCTGGCAGAACATTCCGTAAACTTTTATGAATAATTCTGTTCCAATTGTATGTCTTTTCAGAATTTCCATCATAGTCTTCTCTAGTACCAAGAATATTTGCAGAGTAACAGGATCCTTGTTTCATAGCTTCTCTGGTTGCTTATTCCCTATGATAAACACATTCCTTCTGTTTCTGATCAAGTTGCACAGCAACTGACTGAGATATCGGAGCTATCTTCATTAAGCTCCAACATTAAGAAATAATGATCCTGTTAGTTTAGCTTTGGGCTAATATCAATTTTACACAACATTTGTCCGCAAGAAATTTGCTCCTAGTTTATTTAGAAAAAGGTGAGCTAAGCCACTTGGTTTCCTGCAAATATCCTTGGTAATAAAGAATGAGAGGAAGGAACTGCAGACAAGTGTGATGAATAAAAGGAATGTTTAGCAAAGTTTTTGGTAGGGTGCCAGCAGCTGTCTCGCACATGAATATCCAACTGATCAGCTGAGTGAGTTATCCGACTGTTGTGACAGCTCATCAGCTTTCTGAGCAACATCTGCCATTTCTTTACCTTAAGACCCACCTCGTACAAGAAAAAACTTTCACTTAATCTAGTTACTTTTTATGCACATAACTATGGATTTGTAACAAAAATAAAACAGAAAAAAAATAAAAGTAACTGATTAACATTTACACGATAAGAGCTGAACATGTACATCTATATTACTCGGTAAGGTCTCAGCATATTAAGACCATATGGAGTAATATAGCTTTGCTTATTGTAGTAACTCAAAAAACAGACACATCATTCCCAAACTCCACAACCATTTATGTTTTCAAGGTTTCATTTCTTTGGAAGGCTGGCTATCAGCTCATATCCCTGCAATTTAAGTCGGTTAGAAAGCTATCTACGGAAGATTTGTATTTATACTACACCTATTTCTTGTTGCACTCTTCTGGGGATGCCAGAGATGGTTTTCCTCCTCCTCAACTTTCGTCTCCGCTGTAGTACAGATTGTGAGTGAACAAGAGAGCAGCGTATACTAGCCTCTCTGTCAAAACCAACTCCTGCAACCCATAAATAGGTCTCATTAGCCTTTAGAAATAGTAAACAATTTTTCATGGCTGGAACACAGTGGAGGTATGTGAGCTTGGATTAAGCCTGTGAATAAACATAAGGGAGCCCTTATGCAGCTCTTATGTAAATTATATTACAGTATATTGCAGTTTTACATCTAATTCCAGCTCCCTCTCGGCAGCCTGGTTTGCCAAAAATAACAGGAGGGAAAAAAAAAAAAAAAAAGGAAGAAGGAAAGAAAGAAAGAAAAGAAAGTTAGGAAAGAAATAGTGTTGAGAGCTCTTGATAGCAGGCCAGTTTTTTTCTTGTGGCTATTTATCCATCTGTCACAACGACAATGACAATAGCATGTCTGCAAAGAGTCATCTGTTCCTTATAGTCTGGCTCATTTTACAAAACTAAGCACAAGAGAACAGTTGAGGTTCTAATGCCATATTGCAGCAGTTTGGCGCTACTTGGGGGACCAATATGCAAAGGGTGCTAACGTTTCAGAAAGGAAAAAAAGACAGCTATAATGGGGCCAAGTCCACGTGCAAGTTTAGAGAGCATTCTTCTTTACTATTATATATTGTCAAGCAGGAAAGGAATTGACAGCTAATGTTTTCATGTATCAGTTAGTGACCCTATATTCCCAGGTGTGCAGCACATCGCGGGACACGCGGGAGTCCATGATGGACAAGGAGACTTTGGGAACAGTATGACACATTCAAGGACCTAAATTTGGGTTTAGGAGCTCAAGTTCATGTACACATTTATTCATAACTGGGGTCACACGGAACAGGCAACAACGTCTTATTTTCTTTATGTTCCCATGGCATTCCCATGGCAAGGTCTCCTTCATCTTGCTTTTTACACTGTGATCAGTATAAAGGTTGACCAGTACCTTCCTGCACTAGCTTTTGGCACAAGCAGACGCTCACGCTCTCTAAAGCTGGCATGGGACTGGTTGAAGAAAATGTTCCAGGTCCAGAAAAACACTAACATAAGGATTGCTGGTACAGTGGTTTGTAATCTTAAGGAAAAAAAAACAAACAAACAAAAAATCAAAAACAAACAAAAAAAAACCCAAATGAAATAAACCAAACAGAGTGAAAATAAAAAATCCTGGTAGAAATCTCCATTTTTATAGCGTATAATTATATAAAACATAATTATACACAGACATACACATACATATTACACTACATAACAATGTAAAACATTAAAAAGTAACTTTCTTGTAAAAGTTCTTCTTGAAATCTACTACAGTGAGATAGAGGCTTCAGACAGATGTCCTGTAACCACCAATGCCCCTAGAACAAGCAGAGGAAGAACTTTCTTTAATATGGAACAGAAGTGCTGTAAACTCTATCAACAGTCATTAAAAAAAAAAAAAGTGAAAAAAGTGAACATTTCTCAGGGTTGGGAGAAGCTTAAAAAAAAAAGCGGGGAGGGGAAAGAAAAACGGAAGCAAACTGTTAAATGGATGTCATTCAGCATCACTGCGGGTGCTCCAGCAACCGTGTGTCACCGGAACATGCTCGGTGTGCCGGCGGCACGGGGCCGCCGCCGAAGCGCAGAGTGGCGGAGGGGACGTCACCCTCGCCGTGACGCGTGCGGCTATTCCCACCAGTGCCAATGAGAATGAGACACATAGAAACAGCCAGAAGATTACATACCGTTCCCCATCGGTAAAACTGAGCAGTGGGAATTGGGCTCCAATGCAGGGCACGCGGAGTCTAGGCAAGAACCGCTATTACTGGACAAGTTAGCATTGGCCCCAGACCTAGTGCTGCGCTCTCCTCCACGCCGTGGGTCAGGGAGCAGCGGGGAAAACCTACTGCCCTGGTCACCCTTTACAACGGGATTTCTGCATGGGGCGCCCAGTGTCTTGAGGGGCATCCAGCCCCAGGCGGCTGTGACCTCCTACCCCCCCTCATTATTGGAAAAACCCGATTAAATGCAAATATTGGCTCTCCTCTTTTTTTTTTTTTTTTTCCTAGCAGTTTATATTCTGATAATGGTGGAAGCGAGCCCACTTTATGCTCTTACATTAATGAAAATTTGGTGAGGAGAACTCAGATAAATTTTATGTTTACCATAGCCCTCTGGAAAGAGAGAAAGAAAAAAAGAGAAGAACAGCCTGATTTTTTTTTCAGTCAGGAAATATGTTATCTACCACATTTAATAGGTTATATATTTCCTGCTTTTATAAACAATTTCTTTTTCAAATAAGTAAAACATATCCAAACCTTACATAAATAAAAGAAAATGCCATTACTGTACCTTCAGCATAGCAGCATGTAAAGAGATCTCAGAGCGATGGTTTGCATGCTACACAGTCAAGACTTGCATGTTTAAAGCACTGCAAATAGTAGCCTATATTCTCTAGTTTCTCTTCTCCTGCTACACATGATAATCATATGATTAATTTCTGTGGCTTTCCGCATTATTTCAGTCAGCTACATTCAAAACGTTATCCAAGGTCTTTGGACTCAACGTTATATGCACAAGAAAAGTACAGTGCTTTTGCAGGGAACCAATGTAATATTGCACTGTATAACATGATTCAATAGCTATGGGCCAAATTAACCCTATGTACAGCTGCAGCGACTTTGGTGGACACACGAGGGATGCATTTAGCCCTCCGTCTGCTACAGTCTTAAGCCTCAAGCAAGGGTCTTTGCCCACAGACTGTCAAATCCAGTGACTTAAAATAAATTAAACAATGTAAACACTCAACCTCCCTTGAACCATGCAATAAATACAAAAAAAAAAAAAATAGAAGAGATTTGTACCAGTGACATTGATGGGGATAATGCAAGAAGAAATCACTTGGGCATCTTGTTTCATTTTCTCCTCTGGAGTTGGCAGAGGTAGTGCTTTACTCCAATTGGTTTGTTTATCCAGTGTAGAAGGGATATTATGTATTGGATTTTTCGGCCTCTGCCCTAACATGACATCTGTATCTTCGTCCTCTGGTGGATGGGACTGCAAATGAATACATTCAGAATCAGTGACTACCATTCAGGCATACAAGGCTACTTTTGAAACAAAGCAGACATACAGAGCAGAAATCAATTACAGGGATGCGATGAAGACATGCTAGATAAGGCACACAGTACAAGCTAGTCTCCCACAGATAAATAACATACAGGTAATGAGGAAAAAAACAAACTTTCCACATACTGAAACCAATTCTGTGTATTTACAGTGACATTCGCAGGGCATTTTTCCAATCAGAAAGGCATGTCCTGCATGTCTGTGCATTTGGTCCAAGCACTCACTCAATAAATACAGCGTTGGACATGTGAGCCCTCCTTGACACCCGCAGCCTTGTGAGCATGTGAGTGTGTGTATGATTGCTAGTGAAAACCGGCCCCACAGGAACAGTCGCTGGAGGACAAACACCAGCAGGCCCAACGCTTTAAAAAGATCCATCCACACATCAGAAGACCATTTGCATTTTGTTTCATTGAACTAAGGCTACGGCCAGAAAAAGGGTAGAGCAGACCAACAGCTACGAAGTTGCAAGCAGCAGGTGTTGACAGTGTTGGTGTCAGGAGGACACTGACCAAGGAGAAGAGCTGACACCAGGCGAAACGCAAAGTATTATTTAGAAAGCGGGCAAAAGTTTAGAACTTGCTACCCAAAACAGTGAACACTGAAGATGAAGAAACAGAGAAGCAGAAGAAACACAGGTGCTTTGTTTTCCTTTGGAAGAGATATCAAATCCCCAGGCAACACTCTGTCCTACGCTGTCCTCCAGCAAGACAGAAATATGTTAAGCACTTTTTCTCTGGGTATCTAGCTTTTGACACCTGTTTTTAAGACTCTTATAGGGAAAAAAAATAGTATCCATTCTGTTTGGAAGGGATGGAGGGGAGAAACACTTACCTTTGCCTAATTTTCATCCCTTTTGCAGTTACTGCATTCTCCTATGAGCCCTGACAATTCCTCAGCAAGGCCAGCAAGGCTGCCCAGTTCCCTCTTTTTACAAAAATAAAGCGCAATATCTTTCAGGCTGGCTTTCTTCGCGGTCCTGAATTCCCAGCTGCTTAACCACCAGGCTTCCCCCTCGTGACTGCTGTTTATACTTCATGTGCCCGTTTTTCATCCCAGTAGCAAAAGCAGCTAAGGCCAAATCCCGCTCGGCCCCTCCTGGGGACCGTGCGTAGCCAGCAGTTGTTTACCAGCACATGCTGGCCCCGGGCTGCCGCTCTGCTCCTGCTATTGCTCCTGGCAGGGTTCGCACAAATCCTGCGGGAATTCATCCTCCCGAGCTCACCAAGCAGCCCTCGGATCATACGGCAGCAGCAGCTACTGAAATACTGGAGGACGCTCGCTTACCTGCTCAGCGGCGCCGTCGGGAGCACCCCGGGCCCAAGGGCACAGTTGCTTCCTGAGCGCCCCCCGCTCCGCGAACCCCCCTTTCTTTTTCTTTTTCTTTCCCCTCCCCACATACGATTTTAGCAAAACATTGCAGCCTTCCTTCTCCCTCTGCGGCTTTTGTGCCCATCCCCAGCGGACGTGAATAGCTCGTCTAAACTTCAAGCACAAAAGACTGCGTTTCCTAGGAAACTCCCCCCCCCCAAAAGTTTGATGCATGCACGCAAAAAAAAAAAAAAACCCACCCAAAAAACAACAACAAAAACCCTGCACACAGGCGCAGACGCCCACGCGGGGGGAGCGCCTGCGTTTGCTGCCCACGTCCCTCCGAATAACAATGGCCGGGGGGACAAAGCGCCCGCCGCGACCCGCCTGCCGGCCCTGCGCCCGCCTCGGCCGCTCTCCGACCAGCAACGGGATTAGCGCCTTTGCAGAGGATCAACGCGGGCTCTGGTGCTGGCATCCTCTGGACCATTCCTTACCGTTCAGGAAGAAAAAAAAAAGAAAGAAAGAAAAAGAAGCAGGCGGTTTGGCAAAAAACATTGCAAGAAAAGGAAATGCAATTGCTAAGGCTTCAGCCTGCCCTGCTTTGGGCCTTTACAAAGCGGCAATAGGAGGAGGGGGCCTTGTGGCCATGAGCTCCTGAAACCGATCCAAGACGAAGAATGAAAGAAGGAGAATAAAAAGTCACTGCTGTGCCTTACTGACACGCGAGAACAGAAAAGGCTTCTTTTTAGCCCGGCGCAGTAAAGTTAGCAAGTGAAAAGCAAGCGAGAGGAAGGATTGGAATCTGGAAGGGAGAAGAGTGGGACAGGGCTGTTCATTGAGAAATGCTTGTTTTTCCAGTACCTTTCTACTCCATGGGGTCATGTGGCAACACTCAATTGGGGAGGGCGAGCGGGTGCTGCTAAACTATAAATGTGAGATGTAAAAAAAGAAAAAATAAATTAAAATTAAAAACATGCACAAAATGTTTCTGGTCAAAGCACATCATTTTTATCTAGACAAACTGGCATCAGAGGCAAAACGAGCTGAGATTTCCACTGCTATTTCCAATAGGCTGGCTTGTTCCCCAGAAGAGACTACTTCTCTACCAATGCAGCCCTGTCTCATGCAACTCTGCCTGCAGAGATTTCTGGACCCATGTGAAATCTGTGCTGATCTTGCTTACTCAGATTAGACACCGCTGCTGTGAAATTGGTTCAACCTCCTCCATGTATGACTGTGCTGAAGTTGTCCTAAAATTGCCGTGTGTTGATCTGGGATATCCTGAACTGACTGAAGCCAAATCAGCGCAAGGCCCTTATCCAACTGTGTTACCAAAGATCTATTTCATAAGGCAAGGAAATCTGTTGCCTGATCCATTGGAGCAATCACTGTCAATAGGACTAGTCCTGAGGATGATTTAGCAAATAAGATTTCTGATTTTTTCATGTAAATGGCTACGGTTGCAATCAGTCATGTCAGGCTGACAACAGACAACGACAACGCCAAACAGGTATTTTGTGTCTTTCTATAGCACTTGAAAGGGTAAAGAGAGATGCCCAGAATGCCTTAAGTCCCACTTGCTCCCTGGAGCTCCAAAGTCCTTTCACATTGGGAACTCCATTTTATATGTTGTTAATGTCCTACTTTTCAAAACCAGTGAGGAACAACATCTTTTGAAACTAAATGAAAAAGACAAAGAAAACATGACCCCTGGTAGCACTGAAATGGTGTAGCAAGGGTTCCTGCCAAGGGTCTGGGGACTTATCTGTGGTTCCCTTCTTGCTAGCTAATAGACCTGTCAATTGAACCTATGGCCATTTTCCTCCTAATCAGCAGCAGCACTACTGTGATGGATGAACCACAGACCTCGGTTTGAATGACTTTGCATTATATGGTCCCCTCTCAAAAATGATAATTAAAAAATAAAAAATAGAAAATAAAAGCTGTGCTGAGGCTGCAAAGACTTAAGTTTTAGTCCTGACCTACTCTATTTTGAGACATGCAGAACTTGCAGCACCTGATCCCATGTACAATGTTAAAACTGAGTGAAGGCTCCAAAACAAGCCATCCATAAGCTTTTTAGGAGAGCAGAAGGAGAAAATAAAATCTGGGATTGCTCCCAGACGGCATTTCTAGCAGGGCAGCCAGGTTGCTGCAAAACCAACTCTAAGCTGTGATAAGGTCCTTGCCATAGGACAAACACTTCCATTAGTGCTATAACTTGGATAGAGATAATGAATGCATTAACATTTTAAGCCTACTCTTCAGATACATAAGAATGATTTCAACATTCATCAGTTTTCAGTAACCTGCTCTAAGCAGATTTGCATCAGTAAAAAGAATCAGTTTTTGAAATGAAACTCAGCTTCCCCATGGAAGGAGTCAGGGGATCTCTGTGGAGGGCTGAGCCTGGTGGAGACAGATGCTGCTGAGGCGACAAGAGTTCAGGATACAAGAAATCTTCTACATCTCTTAGCTGTTGCACAGAGGTCCACAGTAGTACTGGCCAGTGCACAAGATGAAGGAGGTGAGGAAGAACCTCCTGCCCACTGAGTCTGAGCACAAGTAGATGCACGAGCCGCCCATGGGCAAACTGGTGGGAGCTCAGCTCTGGCTGCAGGGAGACTAGCACAGGCTGATAAAGAAGCTGCCTATATATCCTGTTGGTGCAGGGTTACCATATCTGTCCTAGAGCATTGCTCCGCCTTTCTGACCCCACTGAGAAAGTGCACAAGGACCCAAGGAGATTATTTCATGTGCCAGAGTCTCACATCTCTATTTAAGCACAGCAGGGCAAACTTCCTAGACTGGAGTCTCACCTGCTTCTGAACATGCATCACAATAAAAACTAGAAAAATCAAGGGCTGATGAGTGTCCCTGCTTCACCCTGCCACGGGGACAGAGAATGACAGAGATGTACTGAGAAGAGGATGGACAAATTGTAAGCAGGTCCCAAATGCAGGTTACAGGGAACATTTCCCTTCCTACTGTCAAAGTGGTCATCCTGAAAATGCCTGTGCCGTCACTATGGCACCAAGGGGTCCCTAGGAGTCTCCTACAGCCTGTCTGTACATGGTGCCCAACATAGTGGCAGCTGAGACTCTTTCGATCATAGCAGTAGTGGCATCATTGAAACAGCTTCTAGCTGGGGAAGGGAGAGATCTGCTTTGCTTTAAATGTTCTTATTCAACTCAGAAGACCAGAATATCTCTAAATGTCTTGAGTAAACACATAATTGAGCAAGAAATTATTATTATATACCCAAGGCTTTTCTGGTCTGATGGGCAAATCTGCAGTTAGACAGTTTTCAAAGTGAATTTCTTTTATGTGTCTGCACTTGGCAAACAGTAACGGTGATAATCAATCTGTTAAATACAAAACTAAAATACGTTAAAGAGGCATTTTCTTTAATGGGCTAGGATTGCTTTGGAACCAAATTGGTGTATAATTGCTTGAATAGGGATTTATTCTGCAGCCACTGACAAATGAGAGCATCTTTATTTGTCTAAGCTATCCCATCAGCTTCAGTTGCTGAGATGTCATTGGAAATGCTCTTGAATCTTTGCTTGGCAGCACAAATCTTTGTTGCGTATGCACAAGATCTGATTTCTCCTGCTCTTCATCTCTTCAATGGTAAAGTCTTTGGTTTCTGTGCACTGCAACAAAAAAAGTCAGATGTCTAAGTCTGAGCTACTCAGTTAGGCTCTGTTTATACTGAAACAGCAAGAGACCGCCACTGAGCAATTCAGCTCCCCCTCCTTCAGCAGCTAGCTTGGGGGAGATGCATCACTTCTGAATATTCTCCTCAGTGATTTTAAGAGGGGCCTAGGATTGTTTGTAGATACCTGAGTCAGGACACATGAATCACGAATCACATTTTAGCTAATGAAAATCTTAAATCCCATCAGTACAGTGACAAAGAAACAATTTTGCAGGAACAAACTTGTCAGGCTCCAACTCCATTTATTGTCCCAGGCCAACTCCATTTATTGTCCCAGGTCTGGGATCAGAAGGGGGAAATAAAGGGGCTAATAACAGTACAAAATAGCACTTAATTCCATCTTTTCCACTCCTAAAGCTTTGAAATGTCCCAGGTCAGAATTTTACAAGTTATAAAGGAAGGCTAGTGCAATAAGCATCCTGTGAGTTAGATTATGTATCCACCTAGCCTGCTTTATTTATAGTGATAGTGCTACAAAAAATACAGTAATTTCAAAGTCAGTGTGCACACTGCACAAGTGAGGGGAAAAGCATAAAACCAAGCATGAAATAATTGTTTTTTCTCTAGACAATTAAAGATGTTTGAGCGTGTTTTCAAGAGCTGTAGGCGTTTATCCTCGACGTGTTCACCTGATTTAGACCTGCTGAAGTGGATTCCTTCCCCATCCCCTTCAGCATTAGTGTAAAACCTGTGCAGACCATGTATGCAGCATCTTATCTCACAGGAAATCTGGGTGGCTGACTCACAGGCCCTGCAGCACCAGTGTAGGCTGGAGGAGCCCTCAAAGCCTTGCTGAGGGGCGGCCTGGCTAGCAACACAACTGTATTCTCTAGAGGATTATATTTTTACTCCTGCTGCCTAAAAGTCACAGGTAAGAGATGGGCATGCAGGCTCAATAGTATTTACGACTTCAGGTTCCTATAGCAATGGATCTCCTTCCTAGGATGACCGTAGGAATAAAATGGGTGTTATGCACCTTGAGCACAGCATTAGCATACAGTTTAAGCACCAGTTAGCTTCAAATGTAGCCTTCTTCTAGCAGTGAACAAAACACCTGCAGGAGGCTTTCATCCAAACCAAATACAGAAATAATGCATCCTCATCAGCAGGACATCCTGACTTTACATTTGAAAACGACCATTTGTATATCGGAAAGATGATAGACAGAAGAAAGGTGAACTGCAGCTTAATCCCAGGATTGCCCCAGCCTAATCCTGACTCCTCCTGTGGCCAGGGTGAAACTCCCTTTCTCAGCCTCTCTTCCTGTAAACTGGAGAACTTGTTGCTCCATTAACTTGCAGTCTCTCAGGGAAAAGTCAGTGACTGAAATGTGAGAAAAATTAAAGGTCTTCTACACAAAAAAGAAATACTCATAAAAGGTGAGCACCTTTCCAGTGTTTTCAGGGCACAGCTGACTACTTTAGCTAGATATTAACATTCATTGCTGTGCAGCATATTTCTTAGGCAGTCAAATTAACACTGGAAGTGAAAACAACAGGAATACTTCTGACTGTATATTTCTGCTGAGAAAAGCATTCCGGTTTGCCTGCCTACTCTCATCATTTACATGTCCATATGCTTCACGCTCCTCAAGTTTATGTTTCATGTGCTTGTGGGTGTTTTATTTTATTTTGGAGCATCACAAATGCGATCTGTTAGGAGTACTGACAATCATTTAATGATTAATGTGCTGCTCCAATGTTTTGACGAGGTAAAGATAAAAATAAGACTTGTTTTCTGACAGAAGTCATACCACACACGGCATTCTGGCAGCTAAAGCCACAAAATAAAAATGCTATAATGCAGGATAGTAGGTATTACGCGTATTGCACACATGGTACTATGCAAGTTCATTCTGATGAATTGCATCAGACAGCTTTTGTCTTTAAAGAACAGGCAGGATTTGCATACAGAAAATGAACAGCCCAGGTAATACCTGGCCCTTAACTCAGTCCTTCTTTGCTGAGGTTCGGTTTGCTTCCACACAAAATTCTGGGAAATTAGTATATGCAATCTCCTTTCCCTTTGCTGGGGACTAAGACTATGGGAATATTTCTGAAATGTCAGGAAGATGGAATAAATGACCTGATGAATTCTTTCCATTTCACATTTCCTCAAGGCCTCAGAGAGAGGCAAGACTTGCCTGGAAAACAGAGGCCTCCTGCTTCTTCACCCTTAAATCATGCCCGGATTCTATTTATAAGGAAACTAATATTGAACTTGGTGCAGTTGTGAATGTGAGTTTCCAAGTATAATAGGTGCCCTGCTGCATCTCCCGTATTTTATTGCAGCAGCCCTGTCAGGAGGTTTGGGAGGAGGTGTGTTCCCGTGACATCCAAATTGTGAATCTGAGTGTTGGACTTTCGGAGTTTTGCTGGATGGACTCGGGAAAACAGGGAAAGGAAAAATGTGAAGGAGATGAGACAGCAGTTTGAGCTGCAGTTAGAATGACACAGCATCTTCCTACTTGATGGCCTCAGCAGCACTACAAGCAAGGTTGTCATGGGAACGTGCGTAAGAAACACTTCTCCTATTTTCGTAAGTCTGCGCCTTCCTCAGATTACGCTTTATTTCCTACATTGGCAAAAGTTGTTCAGTGAATGATACTTATAAATCTGTTCGCTTGTGTATGTCTTTCACGCACAGACAGACTAAGTGGGCCAGAGTATTTAAGCTTGAAAAATGAATGACTGGGATGACTATGAAAATAAAATCACATCTGAAAAAAAAACAGGTATGGAGAAGATGAATGAGGAAGCATTATTTGCTGTTTCTCACAGTTGAAGTACTAGAAGGCATCTAATGAAATTATGAAGTATAGCATTTAAAATAAACAAAAAAAAATGGATACATTTTAATTCAGATTGTCACAGGATTCTTTTGAAGCTAAAGTTATCAATTCACTAAAAATGGATTAGACAAATTAAGGGCAGGCTGGGTTTTTTGTTTGTTTGTTTGTTTTTTTCCCTGTGGCTATTATTCTGTATCTGATTTCTGTCTCAAGAGCTCTGTAACCAATTACTGCACTAAATTGGAAGGATAAATCATGGGAAGGTTCACTCCATAATATTATGTTATTATCCCTGTTTTCTGAAGGATCCTCTGCTGGCCTCTAGGCTAAGTGGGCCTTTCACCAGGCAAAGCAGGGCACTTCCTATAACCAGGCGAGGCTGTAGAGCTAGCCCCAAGGATTTCTGTCTGGGATACAAAAGATCCTATGACAGACAGTAGTCTGCAGTAGCAATTCTCTGCTTCCTCTCCCTGGCAAAGTGATTGTGTGGTGGAACGGTCCAAAACTGCCTTCTTGGACCACTCATGCTGCTATTTGTCATTTTGGATTATGATTTCATCTGGCCTTGCTTGGATATTGTGGCGCTTTGGTATCTTCCTCCCTGTACAAATAGTCATGCTTAAAAGTGAATCTTATGAGTTGTGGTTGAGTTTCTCTGTGGTTACTATACAAATGCAGGATCTTTGGAAAGGCTGATGATAGTCACCTAACTGTAGGAAAAAAAAAAAACACACAAAACAAAACAATCAAACAACAACAACAAAAAAAAATAGCCTGGATACCTATGCTGGGCCAGACAACACAAGTGACCCGGATTTCAGCAGCTTTCAGTTCTCATAAAAGCAGTTTGAAGTTGTCTCAAATCAAGCCACTTCTTTCAATGCTGTATTGTATGTATTGAACTTGGATTGCCAGTTAGAAAACTTAGATCCTGCATTTTTTTTTAATTTCAATTTTTATTTTCCCAATTTACAAGACACACCAAAGGTGACTTTTATTGTTGATTTATTCCTTTCACCGGCACTTTTTCAATGTCTCAGAAAAGAAGAATACAGAATAGACTGCTCTTCCATGAATAAAAATTGTTGTAGAATTTAACATCTTTATTTTATTGATGAATAGACAGTGCAATCAACAGCCATCAGTTATCAAACGTAATCTACTGCTCCTGAAGGACATGTACATTTGCAGAAGTCAAAAAGCTTAGGGCAGGGTAACCAGTATCAGCAGCTTCAACTTTCTCTTGTTATGAATTAGTAACTCATGAAGACTGGCACAATATCAACTAGGTATTAATAGCCATCTTTTGATGACATACAGCATCTTTTGAAAATCTCTGATAAACTCTCCACCAGACAGAGCACTCATGTACAGTTTAATCTTGCTTTGTTCTCCCTTGGAATTTGCCTTGTGAACAACGGATTCTCCAAAAAAAGTGGGTCAAGGCACTTTGGAATATTCCAGCCTAGGAATAGTTGTAATTTCTAAAGAAGAACATTGCCAAATGGCTTGAAATCAATTGGATTGCAACCTCCAAGTAACTCTCATTTGCTCCTCCTTAGGGGAGCACTGAGTCTGGTCAGCTTCCAAAAACAGTGGGCACAAGGCTTAATGTTTTCTCTCTTCAAAAGAAAAAGGTGGACTTGTTGGTAAAGCCAAGAGTCTGTATTCAGCATGACAATTTTGCTAACAGATACAGGATTCAGAGGATTGCTCACTATTATCATTTTGTGTTACAGATGGAAGTAATGTTGCAAATGCATTGCAAATGCATTGGTTGTTTTCCAAATACAGCAAAGACTCGGGCCTTTCACCACTAACAATGCAATTTCAAAAGACATGCCGTGCTCCCATCTGATACTAACAAAGAGATCAAGAGAGATGTATCTTCTATATATTGTGCAAATTTTTATTTGTAACCTGTGCCGGTGTGCAATCTAACATCATCTCTCCCTTACCTTTCAGTGACCCTACAGCAGCACTATCTTTGGTAATGTGTTATAAAAGAAAGGAGGTCTGTTTCCCCTTTACGCCTTCCTACTCTCTTCTATGCTGTCTCTTAATCCCGGAACACCTTTTTCCAATTGATTCATAACGCTTAAAAATTTAATCAGTTCAAGGCTCACAGGTGATACTTTCCTTGAAATTATCCAGATAAGCTGCCCCAAAACCAAAACAACCAAATTAATCCCAAACTTTTCAAGGACTTCATGCTTTCTAAGGAGAAATACAATTCTTTATACAGACTTGCTCAAGGTTTGGTTCTTCAACATGTGCTTTACACTGTGACTCCTTTACCATTATAGCATTTCTATATCATTAATATAAATGGATTAGGATGAGTGAATTTGGGTTTTTAAGATAAGTAGGTGCCTATTCAGTAGCTACACATTTATAATGTGCTCATGGCTATAGTATTTCTGTAGATTTGAACCTGGCTGATAGTATTTCTCTAGTATTTCTGTAGATTTGAACCTGCCCATGGAAGATATGTCCATTGTTATGCTGAGAGCTGCCATGAGGCATATGCATCACTGAAGTCAAATTAAGGTCTGACCTGTGGAGTTTAAATGCAATTTAAGGAACTGAATGGATTTTAGCACGGGGGAGAATTTGTCTACAGAGAAGCTTTTATAGAGGAACAAAGTTTGTCTGAAACCAGTGGGAATTAGGGACACAATCAGAGTTAAATCTGAGATCTGAGTGTATTCAACACTAACTTGATTCAAACTAGTGCAGCAGTGGCAAGTCAGCACAGACATACAGGACCAGATCTTCAGTTGGAGCTTCCACCTGGCTGCTATGAAGGTATTTGTGAGAAATGCGGAATCTGAAAAAAGTTGCATGAAAGTGGTCACTGCAGCATAAGGCCATCACCCCTGTTTGGAAACAGTGGTTCCTTATGGCTGGAGAGGTGCTGCTGAGCCCATCTGCAGCCAGAGGAGCCTCAAGCCATTAATCAGAGCCCTTGAATTCTTGGCACTTAGCAATGATAATTCCAGGACTGTAATTGCAGCATTCCTTCCTGGATGTGCTACCTTAAGGAATGAAACACAAAAGACTGTGGATTGGCATACGAATGAGTGAGTGTAACTGTCTGCTGGCCACACATGCAAAATAAGATGTTTCTTAGTGGAAACCCGCCCTGAAGTTTGCTGCTGTAAGCTGTTACCTGAGTAACTTTACTGATCAGTTGTTTGCATCAACTGCGTTGTACCTGCAAGCACTCACTGGGAGACTGTGAACTACTGTCAGACTAAGGTCCCACAATTAATAATATGTTCATATGTGAGAGCTGCAGTGCACAGGAAAGACTTACAGGGAGCAAGTGCCGGTCCTTTATCGCTTGTCTCTTTTGACTGCAGATTGCAGGGAAGGGAGGAAAAGGGGGAGCCACCACAGAGATGGAGCCTTGGACTTTTTGCTCTCTGATATCACCTCGGTTTCGATGCTCTGTTTTGGAGAAGAAATAAGCCGTGAGTACTTTTGGAGTATTGGAGACATGTGTATGTCTTTACTAACAATGAAACTGAGACATGGATAGGATGTTGAATACAGTTTGTTCTCTTCTTCACTGACATTATTTTTATCGTTGTTGTAGTTGAAGGGGAGAAGCATAGACTGGACTCTCAGCACCCTGGAAATGCAATGTTTATAGCACGCACTGCTACACTGCAGTGTGCATGTTGAAGGTGAAAACATTGAGATACACATTAAAATCTGCACTTAATAAACAGTATAAAATATACCCCTCTGAGGGTAATGAAGGAAACAGTGCCAGGTAGGATTTCCTTCCTTGGCTGCACAGCCATACCGGGTCCTGCATGCTAGCTTGGCATCTTGAAGGTTGCTGCTGTGGCAGCTCCTTGTCCAGAACTACTTCTGGTTAAACAGATAAAGAGATAATGAAATCCTGATAAAAGAAATAGGTGAGACACAATTAACACGTTCAGGGTAAATTTCAGAACATAGCTTCTCTCCAAAACACGTAATCGTTTAGAGAATAAAATAGAGCAACACACACGACAAACTGCCTGCTGAATCTGTCTAGCTGCCAGTAAATATGGAGCATGGGGAGCTGCCAAAACTGCGATTTGTCTTTCAAAAGTGATGAGGCATTTTCTGCCAGCTGCCTTTCTGAGCAGCTGTCAGGCTCTCTCCTGCCCACGAGGTGGCAGGCGGAGATCAGCCTCTGCGGCTGGGACAACCGCAAAGCAGATCCGCGAAGAATGGAAAAGGCAAATTCTGTTCTAATTTTAACACTGCTATGGCTGCAATTCCTCTTTATGGCTCTTTGCAGTGCTATGAAGACATACTGCACCTACGGTGTGTTTCTGAGCAAAAATCAGCCTAGAGGCTCAAGTGTGGTCATTAATTGGAATGTTTTATCCAGCTAACAGATGCTACACAGAACCAAGTGATCGATTATTGTTATAACCTAGTAATAGTAATAAATGAGCAAGAAAATTATAGCTGTTGATGCAAAACCTACAACACCAGAGGCTGCTGCTGAACAGCAAGGTGACCAGCATAGACACAGAAGAAAGAAAGGGTTGTTTGCTTGCTTTTACCTATTTCCTTTAATTTTTTTCCCTTGGTTAGATTGCCAGTGAAAGCTAACCTCTGCCCATCTTCAGCATTCCCTGTAGGATACTGTTCGAGGATTATGCAGATATTTTCACCTAGTAAATTCTCCTTATGGCAGGGATCCAGGAGACCTTATTTGCTCCCACTTCCTCCTTGGATTACGTTATGCTTTTTGAGGTTCCAGGTCTCAAGTTTGTTAGGCCCTATTAGGAAGTGTTCCCTAACGTGGAGAGAGGAGACCTCCTAGGTCAAGCTACCTGGGGTATCACATTTGGCTTTTAGCTACCACCCTTGAAGGATGCAAGTCTCCTCCAGGACCTGTATGATGCTTGTAGACCCCATGCAGATATCTCATCTTCTGTGGAGTCTCTCTAATACCACTGGGCTTCCAGTTTTAGCCTTTGGAAAGCCAACCCTTATCTGTCCTCAAACTGAGGCATCATTTAACATCTCTTTAGCAAAAGGAGACAAGATATTCCTATCAAAACAGACACTGCCTCGAACTGCCTTTTGGGGCAGTAGTGTGAATTCATTCACATATACCATTCACACATGTCCAAAAAGGTTTCCAGAAGAGCTCTGGAAAATCAAAGTAGACTTACTTATCATTTCTATTGATTTTTATTTTGTTTTCTTAGTAAGAAAAAACCTATGAAAATAGAATATAAAACAGAAAAGTAAAAAAATCCTTTTCAGCTCCAGCAATCACAAATGAGCCAAAGAAAACATGAGACTTCTTTCCTCAGCTTGATTTGCTAGACTGAGTGCCTGAGCCCCTGCAGAGGCCAGCACCCGCAGCCCTAGCCGCGTGCCCGAGCACCCCTCCGATGCCCTCGGGGCAGCGCGTGGAGGCGTCGCGCGCGAGCGCCTACCTCTGCGCAAGGCTCGCAGGTTCTGCTTGGCGTGGTGGTGCAGCTCCTCCACGCACGGCGGCCTCGTGGAGGGGAGGAAGATATTTCTTTGCTGATGCCAAGGTGCTCGGTAATAGACACTCAGTTTGCTCTCTGCATCCAGGTTGGAGACAGCTGCAGAAGGAAAACAAAATGCAAAATAAGACTTTGAGCCTTTGCTATATCAACTTCCCCAAGAGCAAAGGACCTCGCTTGGAGCAGAAGCAGCAAGAATGAGCACTGAAGATGTTGCCTCTCCTCCCACCAAGTAACAGCGATCATTATCTTCGCGGGGTGTCTCTACTAGGGAATACCTAGGCAGTGCCTTTTTGTTTGATCACGCATGGCTGTAAGGAGGAGAGTAGGTGTAATACTAAGTCAACATCAAATGCATGGACTGAGGGACAACGATTTGACATATGGCTAACTGAAAACACAAAGAAACTAAACAATGTTCACATGACAATATCTTGAACCACAGCCAATAGGAATGGAGCCTCCAGCCACCCCGGCTCACTACCACTAACCCAGTCTTCTACCTCACTACATTGTGCTGTGCTGTA